GCAGAGTTGTGGTGACAGCTGGGCCATTGATGCACTGTGTGTTTTGTCTTTTGGTTGAGGGAGCATGGATGTTCAGTCTATCTCTTTAACTTACTTAGCTCTTTTTTTTGTTTGTTTAATATCTTCCTTAACATTGGTTTTGGTCAACATTTATTAATTTATTCCTAATCAATCATCTTCGTTTTATCATGTAGTATTATTATACTGCATGTCAAGTTGTCAATTACATTTTAATATGTAAGGTTTAATCTTCGATAGAATGTGCAATTCGGTTTTCTGCCCACACTAAAATCTGAAAGTTATAATATTTCGGGGTTCTTTTAATACCAAACTAAATCGAATTTATATTAGGATAAGTTTAAAGTTTTTGAACGTAGAAAAAAATAAACTAAAGTATGTTGAATAAGTTTTGGATCGATTTCCTTCAGTTTGAATCTATTCAGTAAAAAAAGAAAGCTCTAGAGAAATTGCTTTGGATTAATCGAACCCTAGTTTGAAGAACCAGAGTTTTACTCGTTACAATAATTCATTAAGATGTATTTCCTCCTTTCGACAAAAGAGAAGAAGAAGATATGTGTCCTCCGTTTCTTTGTCAATAATGTTATAATTTTCTTCTAAATTTTGCATTGAATAGGGCATTACTTGCTTTTATGTATAAAACCTGATTTAGTTTCTTTTTATTTACATACAAAACTTTAAATATCAACTAATATGAATAAGCTAATAGTGTTCTATATATATAGCTCAAGTGATCAGTTATGGACAATTTCTTCGATATCCATCGGTTAATTTCTACAAAATTTACATCGCATGCGTCGATTCAAATTAGACCTATTCGTTAGAGGAAAAAGAAATCATACCCTAAAGTAAATATGATTTGATTTTTTTTATTTAGAATCATCACACATAATAAGAAAACTGAATGCCTCACTTCGACATTGTCTCCAATTTTGAAAGCCTTTCTGATGTTATCTACTTAATTGTAGAGCATAATATAAACGAACATTTAAGAGCATCTCATCTTTCGAGAAACCTAGCTTACTATAAAGTATAGCTAATTGAACCTAACATGTTTAATAATAACTCTTATGGTGGGTTCTTTAGTAATATATATATTAATATTTTTTATATAATTTTATTACATAATTATATTTTAAAAACAAACATAAAATTTACCAATTATAAGAAGACACGTAAAAGGTAATCTTTTGAACCTCTCTCTAAAATCTCTATCCATTGAGACTCTCCTCTTTCTCTCTTCCATTTCACTAATTTTTATTATTTTTTTAATCTATGAAACTCATAAAAACTCATCATTAAACATAATCGGACCAACATACAAGAAAACATAACCAATTTAGCCTACAGATAATAACCATTTTTTCAATTTTGATTAATCACATGAGATATAAGAAAATGAATAAACTTTGGAGACGTGGGCACGTAGAGAAAGAAAGAGTAAATAGAATTGCATGGCATGCAGGAAACATGAGACAGACATCGTGAAGGTCCCATATTGTCTGGTCGAACCAAACCTTGACATTTTATCACAACACTATCTAATCTAGTAACTAGTGTTCTTCGTATTGTCGTAGTACTTTATTTATCTATTCGTATTACAATTAGCTAAATTAAATTGATATATATTAGATTCCCTTTTGTTATCTAGCTGCAATTGTATCTGGACGTACTATTATCACTTTGATTTTGTACTTTTTATAAGATAATTAGATTTCTCATCTCATCTTGCAACTTACTACTCCATCATCAATTCCTCATCGTTTTCTGCAATTTTTATATTGTTTTTTTTTGTACATTTAGTTATTAATGCATTAGAATCTTTATCGCTCAGCCCTAAACCTGCATAAAGGGTTTCTAGCTAGACAAATTTAAAAGAATTTGAAATTTACACATAATCATTTACAAGCCTGAAACTATATTTTATAAAGTTTTTAACAAGCATCAGACGTTAGAATTTTGTTTTGTTTTGTTCTAGCTTGGTTATATGATTTTATCAATGGTTTTTACCTAATGGTTTGTGAAAATTTAATTTTCATTTGTCAAGTTTGCGTAGGTAAGAATAAAACTTCCAATCATCTATATATGAATTCGTGATTTTTCAAGATGGAATAGATGCACATGACTACGATTACTTAGTCAATTGGTTGATCAAATTAAAATTTATTGATGACGGCTATATATTTTGGAAGTGGACGATATTATTATCATTTTAATATAATATATAGTATGTCTCTACGCATCTTCTTTTGAAACACTTAAATAAAAACTTTACATTGGAATAATTCAGATAAATGTCGAAGCATTTAATTACTTAAATGGTCTTTTAGCTTAGTCTCCGA